AGGGTGCTCAGACTCAGGACACCTGGCACCACACAGTTTGAAAATTCAACACAATTACACACAGCATGACTATAGCCAAACTCCCATATGCATTTGCACTTCCACAGAGCAGCAAAGTTGATGTGGTATTGCAAGAGAACAACCCTTTTCCTGCCTTAACAAGGATTTGCTGTCATTGAACAAAGTGTCCTGGAAGAGCTATGCTAGGAATAATTTTGTCAAGATTAATACATACATGAAATATCAGGTTGTCATTTTCATAAAATCTCCAGAAGCCATTAACTAAAGCAGAGCACTGACATGAGCTCAACGTAAGATGAAATTGATGAGCATTCTCGCAATTCAACTTCAGATCTACACTATCATGTAAAGCCATACAAAGTTGCTCTAAAGAATTATTAAAGAAACAATTGTGCTTTTTAGGCATGGTGAGTGTGCTGGTTTGGTTTGGAGAGTTTTTTGGTAGTGGGAGAAGGGCCCCAGGGGTGGCTCCAATAAGAAGCTGAGATGCTTCCCCTGCTCCAAAACCAGCCAAGGACCCATTACAGGGACAACTGATGCACTTTCGTGATTAACATAGGAAAGAACTGATAAATGACCCGAGCAGAGTGAGCAGTTAGAAGAAGAGCTGAGCTCGAGAGGCAGAGTGGTGTCAGTGGTTGGTGAAGAAGGGGAAGAAGGTGCCCAAGAAGAAGTTCCCTTACAACCTATGGCAAGATGGCAGGCTGTCCCATGTTTCATGGAGAAACGTGGTGGAACATTCCCTGAAGGTGCCAGGAGGGGTGTCCCCCCCATCCCACAGTGTGTGGTGTCGGGGGGAAGCTGAGTGAGCAGCCATGGGGCTGGTTCTTTGTGGTCGTGTTAGGCCCAAAGCACAACAGTGAGATTTTAAAAACAGGTTTTATTTTTACTTATAAATGAACAAGCAGTGCAAAAATAACTGCCCTCTTTCTAGAACGTGTCACAGTTATGACAGAAATCCCATTAACAAAATTTTCTTGAGCATGATTCATTTTTACTTGTCACGTAAAAAAATAAAAATAAGAACAATTTAGATTACATGTACCTTTAATTATCATCTTCCAAGAAAAAGCCATTTGCCAACAAGAACAAAACAAATTAATATTTTACATTAACACACAAAATGGAGCACTTCATACAGAGCTCACTATGTACCTAGCATAAAAGCTTAAAAGTAAAGACATGAAAATTTAAGTTAACCAGCAGCACCTCACCTATCTACTTCTGCAAAATATAACCAGGTTTAATAAAGTAGTTAAAAATCATTTTCATTTGGTAACACAAAGAATGAAATATTTTGGTATCATTTATGGAACAAAATGACAAATAGTAAGTTTTGTAGGTCCTTAATACATTCACATTCCTTATTGTATTCACTTTTTTTTTTTCAGATGTTAAGGCTATTTTTAAACCTAGAATAGTACTGCTGAGTTTAGAATAAGTTATAACATCCCTAAAATTTGCTGTAAATTATGGATATGCACTTTCATCATCACTGGATTTTAACATGGCTTTTATCTGGCAGAATCAGAAAAGCAGAATCATTCTCTTCTACACAAATGATGGGCTAGAAAACATCATATGCAGTACTAGTAAATTAACTGTAACTGCTTCAATTCCCTCCTCTTATTTCTTACTCCATTGCAAACATTACAGTGTCTGAAACCTTTTCAGGGGCATTTCCCACTTAAATGGATGACCAAATTATTTCTAGTCTTAGTTTAAAAGAAATCAGCTCACTAACGTAGTCATTTAAATGTAGTATTAGTTACATAATAGGATTTCAAAATACATAGCATTTCAGTTTATACATTAGTATAAATATGCAATTATGTTCAACTATTTTATATCAAAACATCTTGTACCAACAGCAGTCATTCACATAGCAAGACAAAAAGTACTCTTAAAATAAGAAAAAATGTTACATAATGCACATACTCCCTAAATGGCTCACAAAAAGGAGGTAATTGACATGAAATCAACACAATCTACTTCATTTCACCAAAGGAATATAACTTTGTTCTCCATAGTAACATAACCATGGAACTTAAGCATTAACAGATAACAATTTTTTTTTAATTTAAATATACAAATAAATTGTTAGACATTTTATGAAGAGAAAAAAAGAAAAGAAACCACTTAGAATACACGTAATATGTGCTAATAAATGTTATTTAGTTGTAGTATCAGATTTTAGCTAAGATCCCATCACTGAGTGTGTTAATGAGAAGCTCTACATGAGCGGGCAACGTGCACTTGCAGCCCAGAAAGCCAAGTGTATGCTGGGCTGCATAAAAGTGTAACCAGCAGGTCAAGGGAGGTGATTTGCCCTCTTTACTCCACTCTCATGAGACCCCATCTGTGTCCAGTTCTGGAGACCCCAGCATAAGAGGGACATGGAGCTGTTGGAAAGAGTACAGAGGAGGGCCATGAAGATGGTCAGAGGGCTGTACCACCTCTCCTATGAAGACAGGCTGAGAGAGCTGGGTCTGCTCAGCTTTGAGAAGAAAGAGTGCCAGGTAGTCCTTATAGAGGCCTTTCAGTACCTAAAGGTGCTACAGGAAAGATGAGGAGGGACTTTTTACAAGGGCATGGAGTGACAGGACAAAGGGGAATGGTTTTAAACCAAAAGAGAGTAGATTTAGATTAGGAATTGAAGATATTCTTCACTGTGAGGGTGGTGACATGCTGGAACAGGTTGCCAAGGAAAGCTGTCAATGCCTCCTCCCAGGCAAGGCTGGATGGGACTTCAAGCAACCTGGTCTAATGTCCCTGCCTATGGCAGGGGAGCTGGAACTAGATGATCTTTAAGATCCCTTCCAACTGCAACCATTCTACAATTCCATGTTTAATAACTGTTTCGCTATCAGATTAGTTTTCAACCTTCTTCCTTCTTATAATTATTACCTAGAAAGATCTCTGTTTGATTCTACCAAATGTTTTCATAATTCTCATACCTTCCCAGTTCAAAGAACTGAAAGACATGCAGTTATAGCAACTTACAGCTAACATTTATCTCGCTGAAAAGCACAGATTGACCAAAACATGTAACAGTGACTGGTATGGTGGTGCAAAGACTGGAAAGCATGGAAGCATTGTTAAAATTAAAACATTTAGTACAGTACAGAAAAGCAGACAGCAAAACAATCTACAAGAAATAAGTGAAACAGGTAACATTAATCATTGACATAGATAACCATAGAAACAAGCTATACAAACTAACAATGATGAGCAACACTTGTCAACTCTTAGGCCACATTCTCAGGGAACTCATGAGGTATTCTAAGTGTCATTACATTCTTAAACAGAAACCTTTTCCTCATGGGCTCCCTGTAACAGCAAGGACTGACACATGGCATTGGTTTCCTTGGTACCTTAGATCACCTGGTAAGAACGCAATGCCTTCTGGGAAATGGGAACAATCCAGATGCAGGTCAACTATCTGGCCTACTAGACTACTGCCAAACTTCACTCTAGAAGACTTTCAAGACTGAAAGCAAACAAATCTTCTCTCTATATTGATCACTGAGCAAATCCCACAATTACTATAAAATCAGGACTCACAGAAACACAGAATGGTTGAGATTGAAAGGGACCTCAGGGTGTCATTTTGTCCAGCCCTCCCACTCAAACAGAACCACTTCACACCTGTCTGATGAACTTAAGTACTACTGCCTAAGAACACAACAATACAAACCTTCACACAGCAGCTCCTGCCCTTCTGACACTGTACCAGTAGCACTCCCTGTACACTTTTAACACCCCTCTTGCCCTCAGTATCTTTCTCCCAGTAGTTTTCTGCCATCTGCCAGCTGTGTAGTGGCAAGTCAACTGTTGATATTATCAATTCCATTGCAAAGCCCCAGTGCTCCAGCAGCTTTCTTTGTGACGGTTTCAAAATGTCATGGAATTTACAGAGACATGCTGGAAAGCAAATTCAATGTAAGTGAATGACTACACACGGTTTCCAGCTTCAAAACCTTGCAAGCCTAACAATGACTGTCACTGGGAGTTCTCAATGCTTGGCCCTGTCTAAGTATAGTATACTCCTTTAGAATTCCACGTGTGCTTTCTTTTGGTCTGAAAATGTATCTGGGTAGACAAAGCAGTTGTTGGTGTTTGTTGGGTTTTTTGAATTTAAATTTCAGACAGCCTACATGTGAAAGTGCAGAAAAAATGGACATAATTTTGGATCCTCAGGAAATAGTCTGTACTGTCTTAGGAAATGCCACAATGAAATAATGAGTCACTTGCTGATCCATGGTGCAAAAGGAAAAGCTCAAGACGCAGGTATTCTCAACAAACAAACAAACAGGAAATACAGATAGCTGCAAATCCATGGCATTTTTAATAAGGTATCAAAACAATGTGAATTACTTTAAGTACATGTATATGCATTGTTAATATGCATAATTAGCTGTGTCTTTTGTATGTATTTAATAGCATTTTTTGTTACTATGCAACCGAATTCTCATTAACTTTATGGATTGCAAAGATGTATATGTTTGCTGACAACAATAATGTGACAATCTGGGAATAATACATACCACAGTAGGAAAACACCATACTTCTGCTAGACAGCAGAAAACTTCTAGGACATATAACCCTATTGCAACTGAATGATAATTTTAAACTGCCACAGTTTTATGACCAAACAAATGGAGATTACTGCATCATTTTTAGAAGCAATTGCTGGATAAGAACTCTTTTCAACTAAATATTTAAACATACAAATATGATCCTTTCACTGTCTCACTGACCAATGGGACAAGTTACACTCAAAGTTAAGAGATTCCTATATAACCAGCTGAATCAAAGATAAAGTGAAAAACTCAGCAAAAGATAGCCTTCTCCAAATTGGTTGCTTTTTCAAAATACATTTCTTAAATAAGTTCACTAAAGTCAGGGGGGTTACTTGAGTGAGTAAAAGTTTTTGAATAAGGCCTTGAAAGTCATGCAAAAGGAAAGCAGACCCTTACTGTAGTTTTGTGGAACAAGTTCTGGGTTCTTCGGTGTTTTGAGCTTAAAAGACACATCTCCAATAGTGACAGTATCACCTAAAAAAGAGAAAAGAAGTCTTTAGTTAGGTTTTAAGTGTTTCATGCCCTTTTAGTAAAGCCTAAATCACAGGCCTGCTGTGGTAAGTCTGACTGTGTGCACACAAAGCAGCTTCTAGCATGTTTTTATGTGTTTATTTTACTAACCAGGCTATGCTGCTTTTCAACAGATCAGGTACCAGGACAATTTACATTTAATTCATATTCCTTTATTTTTTTCTTCTGCTGCTGTTGTTATAACCATAACTTACATTGTTGGGAGCTATGGAATTCAAGCTTGCTGTAGAACCTCATTCCAGATACCACTGTTGATTTATTGAAATTAAATCTTTAGCCTATTTGTCTGCAGAACTAGCAGTTAGAAACACTTGCAGGGGATATGATTTTCCTGAGTTTTCAAGCGGCCTGAAACTGTATCTGGTGAAAATACAAAACAACTTGCTCAGGTCAGTGGGCTATTCTTACATGCTCTGTCTGTACAGTTGCAGAACCAGGCACCTTTCTGAGGATTTAGAGGTCTCCAGCATTTCTTGATCTGGATTTTACCAGAACTAAAGGACCTGGTCATTTTTTTACTGGTCTCTTACTAGAACTTGCCTGTCTTATCTGTCTTTCTGCAACCACAGGCTTGACTCAAATTTCAGGGCATGCCCTGTGTACTTAGTTGTGGAAATCAGAAGTGAAATCTAGTTTGCAGTCAGGAAATGGGTGAGTACCAAGGCGGCAGTGGTCACTCAGAAAAACAGCACAATACCCAAAGCCCAAGCCAACAAAACGAGCTGCAGACTACTTTATTTTTTTTTCAAGAGACCATCTGGGCCATGCAAATGATCTCATAAGCAGTAAGACCATGAAACTAAGATGACTCTAGTAAAATGATAATTTTTCCATTACTGCTGCGGAAGATAACACCACTTTCACTATCCAACAGGCACTGTAGTGCATGTGTGAGGATGGAGAGGACTGCAGGAGTTAAGACTGCTGCACAGGGTGCTGTTTTGCCATAGCACTCTGATTACACTACCTTTCCATGAACTGAGGCCAAGTTTTGGAACTGTTTCTTGTGCTTTTCTCAGAAATGAGATGTAGAAAGTACATAACCCACAAACAAGATCCAACTCTGAAAATCCCTCTGTAGATCTGCACCCTGTCCTCCTCCATTCAAGAGGACCTTGTCTATAGCTGCCTATCTCAAGCACCATGTAAGGAGTCAGATCAATGCTGGAACCGGAGAGGGAGATGCTGCAGAGGAAGCTTGTCCCAGTTAAAAGACAACTAAAACTCCTTCCATACATACAGCAGGTCTACTTTCAGTCAGCAGCGACTCTAGTTCTGCAAGCAAATGCAGTTCTCTTCCAGCATACCCAGATGTTACTGCTCATCTCACAAGACTGAGAATCCCCAGGTTCTGACATGACTCACACAATCCATGAGAAAGGTTACACATTTAGGAATAGATTTAGAGCAGCCAGAGGAGAACCACCTACAGGAACAAAACAGGAGGAGGCAAAGAAAGGATTATAGCTTATTTCCTCACAAATTTAAAGGCTTAACAAAGACGCTAAAACTGAGATTCACAGCCTGACATACATGCCCATACATGGGTCTTTATGCTGCTCCTGAAGCCCAAATAATCAGCCCTCTTTTTTTCCTTAAAATATTGGTAGAAGATGCTAAACTGGCAGTTGTTCCCACATTTTACACAACAATACAGAGTTTCAATGGCTTGCCAGAAAGTGGAAATCTTATGCAACAGCAGCACTGCCAAATAACAGGTGGTCAAAGGCTCATGCCTGGTCCTAAGGACTAGCAGCACCAAGCAGTTTCCACTGTCTCTGCTACAACGAAGAACCTTTCTCCAGCAGATCTGTGCTGGAGCCAAGAAGTGGAATGGTACCAACCAGAACTGGGGCTAAGCTAACAACTGGGCAGCAGTCTAGGGCTCTAGCTCTGTCCTGGCCCTGAGTTAATTTCATTGAATTAATTTCACTGAATCTGCAGTTCCAATGCACTTAAAAGTACTGTGCTTTCTTCAGTCAGAAGCATCCAAACTTACTCCAAAAGAAAATCCCACAACAGCTTAAGGGGCTGGTGCCCATTCTGGGAGAAATGATATACCATAAATTAAACAGTCACTGGACAACAGACATAACCACTACAGGGAGTAAAATCTAGACTTTGGCGTTCCCAGGGTTTCCTTCTCTAAGTACTTACTCCTCTGAGTTTTAAAGTAAGATATCTAGTTTACTGGGTTGCCTAAGCATCATCTCCCTACCCTTTCTTCTGCTGCAGCTCCAGCCTCTCTTCCTTGCTGGGGAACAGCTAAAAGATTCACCACAATGCCTCCAAGTTGAAGAAAACATCCTAGGAGGCCAGTGTTTCCTGCAAAAGTTGGCATATCTCTTTCTCTCTCATTCACTCATCTAACAAGAATTTTAAGATTCTAGAAAGGGCAGGCTGCCTGATATATTCTTAGGAAATTAGAGCCAGTCTTCTCACCATTCCCAAGCCAACATGTAAGGAGACAAGAGTCTATGACTAATTAGCTCCTAGCTTAAATCACCTCAACAAAAGTTGTAAATACTCTCAACCAGGACACACGCATACAGAATCTTCCAAAACACAGTGAGAAGATATTGAAACAACAAGGTGTCAGATTTTTTCAATACACAGGAATGATGATAACATCTATAGGAGGTAATTTTAATTACCTACTTTTTTGGTGCAGTACTGAAAAGCCTTGCTTGATTTCCTGTACTCCCCCCTCAACAAAACAAAACAACTCCACAGCTTTGTTTGTTCTAAGTGAAAATAGAAAATGCACCTCTTATGGTGGTATTTCTGCCAGTCCATTACTTGATCAACACATCTAATCATATCCAAAAATCCCACATATATTCCAGCCATCAATGGACCCTAAAAACTCATGAAAAATGGGCTCGGAGGGAACTACATGCAAGACGTGGAGAGAGGTGAGCACATAAAATCCCTAGTATACAATCAGGGTATTCAGCTTTTAAAAGGTTTGTTGCTGCCTGGAGATAAATGTTGCCTCTAGCTTGCATCTGTCAAAAAAAAATAAAAAATACTAGCAGTATTTAATAGAACTTTAAGTAACAATAAAACAAAGCTGCACAGTCTGTTTTCCTAGCTAAAGGAGCACAGGGGGGATTCACCTCCCTATCTTATCACACACTACCACCTGGGCTATGTTTTCTTTTCTCACTTGTTGCTTCTGTACTTTTTAAAAATCTCTTATTTCATTACTCAATTTCCACTGCATTGCCAAACTCTTTGAACAGAAACTTAATCCCAGACAGGCTCTTTCCAATGTTTAACCATCTGGCAATGAACTGACAACAATCTGCTTAGTAAAAGCGATAGGTCAAGGCACAAGGGTTTTTAACTGGAAAAGGGTAGATTTAGCTTAGACATTAGGAACAAATTCTTCACTGTGAGGGTGGTGAGACACTGGGCCAACTTGCCCAGGGAATTTGTGGATGCCCTATCCACAAATGTTGGAAGTGTTCAGGTCAGGTTGGATGGGGCTTGGAGCAACCTGATCTAGTGGGAGGTGTCCCTGCCCATGGCAGGGAGGTTGGAACTAGATGATAATTAAGGTCCATTCCAACGCAAAGTGTTCTGTGATTCTATGGAAATGGTGCTGCTGCTTCTTCTTGAAGGCGTAGTTTTATCGTATGCACCTTTGACTGATCTTCTAATCAAAAGATAGTATCACACCAACTATCCTTGTTCTCTCCAGCTCCCAAGAAGAGGCTATTCCCTAATGCTAATACTTCTTCCTCTACGTCAAGAAGAAAAAGCTATTGTTGTTTAAATGATTTACAGCAGTGCTGGTCACATCTGAAGATAAACAGATTGCATCTCAAGTATAATTCAAGAACTTCAGAAGTAGAAAAGTTTTAATTCTTCTACTATTTTTCTAGCAAAATGACCCATTAAAAAAAAAGGAATTATTAAATAAATAAATTAATACATTTGAAAGGGCTATTTTTATATAAAGAAATCCTACAATGAATGAAAACACCCTGCACAGGTCTATATGTGTGTTTATTTTTTTGAGTGCATGATAAAAACACTTTCAATCTCATGTAAATCTTTGTATTATCAGGGGTTTTATACAACACTACAATGAAGACTTAGGAATGCTGAGATTTTAGGCAGCTGAAATTATTGCCTTTTGGCTTCATTAATTCTGAATGTATGTGAGATTAAGACACTTTAGCAGTCATTTTAGAATATTACACATTCACTTGTACCCAGTCCATCCATCTGGTCTCAAAAGCCAGTAACAGCAAGAGCATATTAAAACTGTGGAGGTGCTAAGCTTTGGTAACATTAATTTCTGTGTGATACTATGACACCTGTTAGAGGAAAGTTCAAAATCTGTATTATATTCAAATTTACATTTCCACGTCTTAATTTCATTCTAATGTGAAGGAAAGGAGTAAAAAAAAAGATGCTTTTAACTCATATTTATCTAGCATATTTCCATAAGGTCACAGAAGAGTGTCAAGCCCTCATCCTTGAAGAGCCAACTCATTTTGAAGAAACAGAAATTACATTTTCCAGAATTTTTTTTCTTCTTCCTCAATTTTTCAGAATTCTTTATTTTGGAAAAAAACAAAACAAAAAAAACAAACCAAAAAAACAACCCTAAAAGACCTTGACCCCAAAACTCCTTGACTACCACTGTCTTCACATACAGATGAGGTGGAGCAGCAGACTGACAGCTGCTGCTGATTGAAAATAGTTGGATATTTACACAACAAAATCCATCTCAAATCTAAGCAAAAAAATCCACTTTGTTTAAGTCACCTTTTTTATAAAAAAGAAAGTCTTTCCCCTTAAGAAACCAAAATAACTACTTGGAAGAGAAAACTGGAACATTACTTGACTTCTACTCAATACTATTGTTAGACCTTTCCTTTTTTTTTTTTTTTTTTTAAACTTTCAGTTTTGAAGGTAATGCTT